AGTTGAGAGTGTCTGAGGCTGAGCAATCCTCTGCTGGGAGGGAAGCAGAGTGTTGTGACCACACCCCAAACAGAGGAGAGAAGAGAACAGGGGGGGGTAGGAAGTGGCCTGGGGAGGCTTGCCTGCAGTATCAGCTAGAGGGGACTGACAGCCGGTGGAGAGGGAGGGCCTGGGCTCCCCTATCCTTCCCTCTGCCCTCTGTTTGATTGGGAGGACCCTGAGATCGCTGGGGGACGATAGATTTTCACTCAGCTCCGAGGCCCTTAGATTGCCCAATAAAGCCATCTTAGGACTTTGGAGACTGTTGAACCTGCCCACTAGGCATGCTGGTCCCTAAGTGCTGCCTGCTACACACTGTTTCAGGCTGTCTGCAGATTCAGGCAGATGTCACTGCACTAGTTGTGGTTTGGTAGCATTTGGAAGGGCTGAAACTTCCTGTTTTCTTTTTAAATGAAAGCTGAGAATCAAAATATATGCCATGTAATCCACACGGAAGCATCATGTAGGCAGAATCCAGCCCATGGGCCTATGTTTGATAACCCTGCTCTACACGTGTGAGCTCCACAATTGTGAGTACATTATGTAATACATACATAAACTGATGATGAAATAATCAATTAATTCTTAAATACTGATAGGAGACCAAGCCCAATAACCAAAATGTTGAAGATTTGAATTTTTTCAAAATATTTATCAAACCAAGGAAACCCATGAAATCACGTCAAAAGGACTTGAAGGAAGTCATCATACTGACTCCAGTCCTTTAGACCTCATTGATACTGTCTCCTTTAACTGTATCACACTCCCATTTTCCCTATCTCATTGACATAATAGATTTTATCAGTTTTTTTTTTTTAATTGTAAGCTCATGGACAGAGTCTGTGCCTCCTTTTATGTTTGGAAAATGACTCCCACATTGTGGATGCCATTGAAAGTAATGAGTAATTTGAAAAAGCCACGGCAGTCTATCATACCAAGGGAGCCTTTGTCATGGATCGATTCATACACTGGAACTGTATTCTAAAAATCTTTAGCTATTTGCAATTAAATAATCAGCTATTTGGTTATTTGACAGTGCCCTAAACTGCGTGATTAGGCAGAAATTTAAAAACTGTCAAATGAAGGATTGGGTAGCTCTGGGGAGACTACTCCTGATGGCTGGTTGACGGCTTTTTCAACATGTGAATTAATAAGTCCAGTACTCCATAAAAAAGGATTCACATTACAAAAGCTATTTCCCCAGTTTAAAAAGAAAGCTTCTTTCTCTTCTGTTGCTTTAAGAAAGACAAACAGAGGGAACTGACTACACAAAGGAAATAGTAATATTGACTACATACAAAGTGCTATCAAATGGACAAAGTAAGCAAATGGGGGGGGGTATTCACTAATCTTTCAGTTATTGCAATCTTAATTGTTACTTTTAACAACAGTTGATAAAGTTTTTAGAAGTGTGATTCATAAACTGTTGTCCCTTTAAATCAAGGACAATTGTCAGTCTCACAGACTAATGCCCTGATCTCTCATTCAAATCTTTGCAGGCAGATTTCTGAAGATAGAGATCTAGGGGTGTGCAAAGGTCTACCTGAACAGATACAACAACAGAAGTGGGGCCGCTGCTTTTTAGTGTAAACTTATTTTATAAATGAAATCTTCAGATACCCAACTTCAGAGCTTGTGTTGAATGGACAGTTACAGGCAAATGCACTTTGCCTGCTCATCTGAAGGCCACTACTTGTTCTGAACTATTGCCCTGCTATTGCTTTAATTTTGGCATTGACTGTTTAAAGGAGAAGATTGAGAGGTTCTATTTAGGACACAGCAATTTAAGGAAATCCAACAGGTGTTTATATAGAACTTTAAAATGTGTATCAGCTAATATGTGCTTTTCTCACAAACCAGTAGGTGAGTGAAGTTTTTAAAACGGCCAGTCTAACAACTAATCCCAAAGATTAATGTCAGATTTAATTCATGTTTTTTGTAGATTTCCTGCCAAATAAGTCACTGTTAGGTAACCTAAGGGAATTTCCACCAGTGTAAATGATAAGTAAACATAAACAAAGGAAATGTTGCTACCATGCTAATAAGGACTTGTGGATTTGTATTTTGTTCTCTCTCTCAAAAGCTTTCTATTGCTCACTCAGAACAAACTACTGTTTTATTGATGGGAGTGTTACCATTTACTTCAATAGGGAGCAGTTAGACCAATGCTGAACACTCTTAAAATCCCACCATCTGTCCTCATGGGTTTTAATCTGGTTAGAGGGATACAGTTAGGTCCTGTATACTATACTTGTATACTACAACTTTTAACCACGCTGCACTGGGTTGCCTGGCACTGTTGTTGCTAGAAATCGGGCCTATGTTTTTCATCTTTAAAAGAGTTAGTTGAAAAAAATCAGATGAAATGTTTAGCAGAGACTGGTTTTTGACAAAGTTCCAGTCAGGCAGGTTTCCTATATATGCTGAGCTTATATTGTCAGAATAAGGAATCCTCCCATCACAAACTGCACTAAAACCACATTTGTCGAGTATGTAATGCCTATGAGCTTCATGGTGTCCCATTTAACTCCAAGTTGTAAGTGTGGTTACAAAATGAAAATAAAATGCCTCCCTATTCTCAGCCTCCTGTAACATGCTGAACAAACCTATTTAGATTAGATCCTCAAGAGCTGAATACCTGTAGGTGTGAAATTTGGATCCAGAGCTGGATCCAAATTTCACAATCAGTCACTATCTTAATAGGCCAAACAAAAGACTCACATCCAAACATTTTCAAGTTCTGGGCATGTTCTGATCTCTGGCTCCATCTCTAATTCAGACCAAAATATAGTGCCAACTACAGTATGTCTACTAGCTGGATCTATTAGTACACCTTACTAAATACGTACTGTAGATTAATTTGCCTGCTTGAAATGCCTATTACTGCTGAATTAGAGATTCTTTTTCTTATTGTCAGTACTTCTGCAATACCTAAGGAGTCTGGTTTAGTCCCTGGGCCGGAGCTGCCCAATTCTCAGTGTTCCTAGCAGAGATACCTGGCATGAGAGACACATTTGTCACTTTGTGTGTGTCTGGCATTTAAATTGAGCCAAGTTTCAATCTTAGAGGGGAAAACCCCACTTCCTGTGCCTCCTAACTTGGTGAAAAGCAAGAAAGAGGAACTAATATAAGATTAAAAAAACACAAAATGATACTTTTTGCAGGGTGACTTGAAACATGAACTGCTTACCCCAGCTGTACAGACAGAACTAGAACCAGAAAGACAAAACACCTGCAAAGGAAGTAAATGCCCTAAACTTTGAGCTGTCCATAGAAACCATACTCCTTACTGTAAGCTCATCATTCCTCTCCTCCCAATAACTTTGATCATTCTCTTCTGTCACCTTTTTCCTACTTGCTAGGATTGTTGCCCATTTTCCTCACCAAAGCTACTCTGAAGGAAGAAGCAGTCATTAGAGGACCTGGCCCCCTACCTTGGCACACAGCTGTGAGACAGACCAAAATACAATTGTAATTACTATATTTATATAACTCTTTCATATTAAAGAGGCCTTGACTCTAGGCTGTGACCAAACTGAGCTCTGCTCAGCCTCTGGGGGAAAGGGAAGGAAATGAGCAAAGATGGCTGCATACTACCTGGATTCTGGAGGTAACTGGATGACTGGGCTAGTCCACAGAATAAATTAAGCAGCCCCATAGGCTGTTCAGCATCAAAGAATAAACAGTTGGAGTGCAGTGTGCTGCAGCCATGCTTTCCCTCTTCTGAATTGCCCCAAGAGTTGGTCTGCCACTTCTATGCCATGGATACAATGGAGCTATTTCCCAGTGGGTAGCTATGCCACTGTGGCACCTGTATGCCCACATAGCTGATATACACAGGAAGAGAAGAGGCCAGAATTAAGGCCACTGAATCATTCTGTTTTGTAAACAGGATCCTCCAAGTGGCTTTTTGTGTGTGGTTCCTTGTACACTGGGATCTCAATGTGACAAAGTGCTTAGAAAAAAATCTTAGTTTCATATTAACTACCAGCCCTGCAACCTCAGTCTGGGATCTGAAATTCAAACTGTGTTCTTTCTAGCTTGTGCATTATCACCAATAACCTGAACCGACTGAGATTCTTTATTATACTCAGTTATACCTGAACTGTCTTGAAGAGTCTGCAGTTAGAACTTAACTGATACTGCTGAGGTGTGAGCAGAAATCAGTCCAGTTCACTGTGCCATTGTTGACTCCTAAGCAGTATATGCAATAAAGATAAACTTATTTTTGTCACACACATATATAGTAGATGTTTAGAGTAAAAAAGGTATCACTTTTGAACACAACAGCACTTTTAATTGTCTGTGCCAGCTTGCACAGGGATCCCAGCACAGAGCATTGAAATTCAGCCACCTCTGCAGGAAGCGGTGGCAGTTGTTTCATGGCAATGCTATAGCTAAGTTTAGAAGAAGTATACAAATTGTTTGTAGGGATCTCACTGCAGAGGGAGAGGTGGAGTGAACAGGCATGGGGCAGTAATATGCTAGGGCTGTGATGTTTGCTGCCAGCCAGGATATCCTCTTCCTCTCCCCATCCTCCAATAACGGCGCTGTCAGGGCAGCTCAGTGCTGACGTGACAGCCATCCTACGGGCTCTACTGCTCTCTCCACCTCTGCTCAGGTGACCACATGGTACCACCAAACAAAGGCCACTCTATGAAATGCAGAATTATACTATTTTGACAGCTGTCTCCCTCCCTTCCCCTGCTCATGTTCTACTTATGGTAGAAACCCCCACCTCTGGGTGCCAGTCTTGGCTGGAAAGCAGGCTGCTCGGATCAAAGGCTGCTGAGTGCCCCTGGGCGGAAATGGGTCCTAGCTTTTTAGGAACCACCTGAGGGGCATCACTTCGGATACAGGACAGGGATGGTCCCTCTCAAGAGCTGTTACCTTCCCCCCCCCCCGTGCCTCTGGGGCTCTCTCCCGCCCGCGGCTCCGGCTCTGCCCCTGCTCCAGCCCACCTTGACCCGCTTGCCCTGGATCTCCAGGCTCTTCATGGTGAAGTCCACGCCGATGGTGCTGCCCTGGCGCTCGGCGAAGGCCCCGGTTTTGAAGCGCTGCACCAGGCAGGTTTTGCCCACGCTGGCGTCCCCGATCAGCACCAGCTTGAAGAGGAAATCGTAGCGCTCCTCCGGGTCCGGGCCGGGGCCTGCCGCCCCCAGCGTCGGGGGGCCGGGCATGGCCTGGCCGGGCTCGGCTCCTTCACCCTCCGCAGCGGGGAGCCGGGCTCTGCGCAGCGCCCGTCGCTCCGGGCCTCAGCGCCCGGCAGTCAGCGCCCGCCCCGCCGGGCCGGGCCTCGTCTCGGACCCGCCTCTGCGCCCGCCCTCCCTAGCATGGCCCCGTCAGATGGCGCGCCTGGGCATGCTCGCCAGCCAGTGCCCTCCGCCCGCCACGGGGCCGAGGGAGCCGAGCCGGGCTGGCGCTGGCGGGCCCCGCGGAGAGGGGGCGGCTCTGGCCTTAGCCGCAGCCTAGCCCGATGCGTGGCAGAAGGGGAGCAGCCGCCTGTTAGGGCCCTGACCCAGCCACCGGCTCCTCCGTGGTTACCGGCTTCTAGGCGTAGTTTGGGATTTTAAAAGATAAACCCGCGAGCCCAATGGCATACAGAGCAGAGGCATGAAACTGGGGGAGCTGCCCACACCAAGCATGTTTTTGATTCGTACTATAGTAACACCAACGTGGACCAGGACTCCATGGTGCTAGGCCTTGTGCAAACCCAGAAGGAGGAGAGCTGCCCCCTGGGAGTTTACAGTCTGTCATCATCAAAGTTGCTCCATGGCCATCTGGTTACTGGCTTTTGAAAGTATGGGCCAGATTCTCTGCTGGTAACCTAAAGATGATGCTGTGCCCCTTTACACCAGCAGACAATAGGGTCCTAGTTTTGTCGTTGAGTAATTCAGGAACTCAAGTGGGACAGCAATGGATAGAGTAGGAGGGAAAACACTGATATAAAATTATTCTGCTTAACTGCCAGGGGGCAAATTTGTCACATACACATGGGAAAACACTATTTAATCTAGGATGCACATTACTTTTCTCCTGAATATCATTCCCAAACAATATTGATAAATTACACCAGACAGAGTATCTTTTTTTTTTTTTTTTACAGTATCAGAGGGGTAGCCGTGGTAGTCTGAATCTGTAAAAAGCAACAGAGGGTCCTGTGGCACCTTTAAGACTAACAGAAGTATTGAGAGCATAAGCTTTCGTGGGTAAGAACCTCACTTCTTCAGATGCAAGGTTTTTTTTTACAGTATTCACAAGTGGGTCATAATTGGAATCATAGACAATTTCTAAAATATAGTTTCATCCGCAAAAGTTAAATTTGTATAACTTTAAAGCTAAACAGTAGCTCCTTCAGAAGGGAATAGTAATTCTTGATTGGTGAGATGATGCACCAGGCAAAAAGTGCTCCCCCTTAAGACAAGTGCAGAGAATAGGTGGAGGAAACTGTTTGTATGTGACAGGTGACAGATAAATGTGTCAGAAACTGTCCCCAGATTATCATCAGCTCAGGTCCAGAGGATGCAATTTCTGAGGGAAGTCAGCGAAGCATGTCAGAAATTGTATCCCCTGGAATATAGTTGAGGATAAGATGGGGGTGGCGCCCATCCATAAGAAACTATGGGCTGGTCCACACTAACCCCCCATTTCGAACTAAGATACGCAACTTCAGCTACGTTATTCACGTAGCTGAAGTCGAACTATCTTAGTTCGAACTTACCGCGGGTCCACATGCGGCAGGCAGGCTCCCCCGTCGACTCCGCGTACTCCTCTCGCCGAGCAGGAGTACCGGCGTCGACGGCGAGCACTTCAAGGATCGAGCCGGGATCAATTTATCACGTCTAGACAAGATGCGATAAATCGATCCCAGAAGATCGATTGCTTACCTCCGGACCTGGAGGTAAGTATAGACGTACCCTATATCACCTCAACCAGGAGCTGAGGAAATAGGAAAGCCAGATGCAATTTCTGACAGTGTTCCCTCTCAGAAATTGTATCCCCTGAATCAGGGCTGAGCAGGATGCATTTTTTGATGAGGGTGCAAAAACAGATGTATAACCAGATGCAAAAACCCTGCCTTCCTGCCATTCTTGAGTACCCAACTCAGCAGCCCCCCTTGGTCTTTACATCACCCTTGACCATTCTTCAGTTCTATCTCCTCCACTGAGCTTCCAACCCAACACTCCTTTACCTTCTGGATTTTTGAAGGAAGAGTTTGGCAATAGCAATCTGCCCTCTCATTACCACTCATCAATTGGTGGTGGCCTGCCCCACATCTTTACTGTTCAGGTCTTCACAGTCCCTCGAATGTTATGAAGAAAAAAATTTTCTGGCAAGGGACAGTGCCCTTCTCATCTAGCATTGCAGGTCCAGGGAACAACTCCCACCCCCCTCCAAGCATCAGCTCATCTTTTGTGGGAAAATTCCTATTCTATATGGATAGACAGTCTCCTGCATTGTGGAAAAAAATCCCTCATTAATGGAGGGGCTTCTAGGGTCCTAATGCTCAGCTATCCCTCCCAGTCTACAACAGGGTTGCCCGGGGGAGGGAGCAAGTGGGGCAATTTGCCCCAGGCCCCGGGCCCCACAGGGGCCCCCATGAGAATATAGTATTCTATAGTATTGCAACTTTTTTTATGGAAGGGGCCCCCGAAATTGCTTTGCCCCAGGCCCCCTGAATCCTCTGGGCGGCCCTGGTTTACAACTCTGACCAAACAGCCCTGCCACTCCCCCACCCAACATCCCTCCCTTTATCTCTCCCAGCCAATCCTCTCTTCCTGCTGCCAGATCCCACACATCAGCTACTCTCTCTGCCTAACAACCTTGTGCCATTTAACCAGATTTATGGCCTGGGTGCTGGGCTCCTCAAGCACAAAGCTTTTTTTTTCTCCTTCCCAAGCTTCAGGGGTAGCTTTCCAGATGGGCTGGTTTTATTCCTGCCTGCTTGGGGAATGGGTTACTCAGATTGTGGGGTAGAAACTGTGGAACCTGACTCACACTAAGATATCCTGTTTGCATCAAGATGCTTCCAGTAAACATAAAGAAAAAAGGGTGGGTGGCAGTGTTAGATGACGCACTAGTTTGGGGGAATTTCCCATAGCCATCATACATGATGTATCACAGTAGTGAATCAACTTCTTTCTCACTATGTTTATAGGCTGAGGTCTAAAAGAAAAATAAACAGTTCATTTTCATCCCATCCATTATGAGTAGTTCTTTATGTAGATAAAAAGCAAATTAAAGGATTTAAAGGCGATTCATTATTAATAATGTTTAATGAGACCTACATAAACAATGGCCAAGTCCTGCAATGAGCTAGCTGTGTGTGAAAGAATCTGCCCTGTAGGATCCAGGCTACTCTGGATATTAAATATCCAAATAGTGTACTGATAGTAGTATATATGATTAGGCAAGTGCAGTTACAATATTATCTGTCAGCTTCATTTACATGTTGTATTAACATGCTGGCCGTTGTTTGCATGACTGCAAGTGGGGGTGTGGCTTATTTCCAAGCTGACATAATATTCAGTGCTATATTTTTGCACCCTATGCAATGTGTTGTGTTGCCCAGACACATCTTTAAAAATGGCAACACTGTGTTGGGGCTAATTAAAAGGTAGCAATCTGCGAGGCAATTATTTGAGATAAATAAGACACGTCTCTTTAGCAATCTGAAAATCTTTGCCTGTGTTTTTCTCTGCATATTAGTTAGAGTATCTATAAAATACAAAATATTGTTTTAATAGACATGCTTTTTTGTTTGAGAAATGTATGCCAGAAGTAATTGAGATGTGTTAATATCATGGGACATTGTTAGTGAAGAACTTTGACAATACCTGTCCTGAGAGTATCTTTTTATTTGTATCTAGTGTGTGCCAAACTTCAGCCTCTGTTATATCCATTAAATTTAGAGTGACCAGATAGCTAGTGTGAAAAATCAGGACAGGAGGTGAGAGGTAATAGGAGCCCATATAAAAAAGAGCCCCAAATATTGGGACTGTCCCTATAAAATCGGGACATCTGGTCACCCTAATTAAACTCCACTGAGAAGGCCCCATATCTGTAATTACAATTAGTAGAATTAAGAAGGTTGTAAGGTGAATGTGTTTAGTGGCATTATCCAAGAGGGCACAGAGTGAGGTTTGTCGTCACCTAGTTGTGCCAGAGGAGGGCCGCGTTAATTTATGCCTGAGCAGAGGAGACTGACCAAGCAAGGCTGCCTTGGTCTGGTACTGAATCTACACATTTCCTGGGTTTCCTGGTCACTACCCTTCTTAATGTGTCTCTACTTTTTTTAGTGCGGGTTCCACCAGCTGACTCCAGACTCCCAGCAGAATGGAAGTTGTAGGCACCTTGTATTGTTATGACACCCCAACCCCCTCAAGGAAGACTTTCTGCTAGTGGGACCTGCAAATGTGGGTTAAAAAGCCAGTGTAACCCTAAAATATTGGCCAGCCAGGGAAAAACATTTGTTAATAAGGAAATAAAATATTGCTATAATGTACAGTGTCCACTTAACTCATTTCCATTTTACATTGTGGTATTGAAATGATCAATGTCTGAGTCTAAACTACATTAGAGAAATAGATTTCTTAGGAAAGAATGTCACATAGTCTGCCAATTTAAAAAAAATGTTGTATCTTGATTGGAAAATTAGATGTATTACTTCTGTGCAAGCAGAATTATGCATTTAATTAATCCTTATACTTACAGATCAACACAAGACTCTGTAGCTTGCATTAAACTGTCAATTTTGTTAGAATTGTTAATTCTATCAAAAATCCCCAACACCGCATAAAAATAAATATTTATATAATAAATAAAGTAATAAAATAACTTGAGTAATTCTGTATGTAGGATCTTTCATTAGTTTCACTGAGTCTTAACAATTGTAAAATAGAAATATTTTGAATGTTAAAAATCTCTATCTTTGTTTAGAAGCTGCCTTTGATTAATCCCCAGTCTCCACCATTGTTAGCAGCCACACCTTTTTCCATGAAAACTTCAGAGAGAACAAACTCGGCTTGATTCACTCCCAGTTTGCACCTTGCTACATCTGAACAGGGATTCATCCCTGAAAGAAGGGCCGGTGTTGATACTTCTACCATCCTCTGCCAAGTGAAAGCAACACTGAACTACTGAAGGGACTACCTAGGAGGTGGGCTGAATCAATGCATCTTGTGAGTGCCTTGGCCACTATCTCCTCCTCAGCTAGCGGCACACTACTTTGTAGGCAAAGCTAGTTGATTGCAGACCCCACAGTAGCTTGAACTGTACTGGCTTTGCTCCAGGTGCAGCTTGCCTGGTGGAATTTAGGGCTGCCAACTTTCTAATTGTACAAAACTGAACATTCATGCCCCGCCACTTCCCAGAGGCCCCACCTCCGCCCCGCCCCTTCTTTGAGGCCCTGCCCTCCCTC